GGAGTGGTGGTAGACGATGGGGGTTGTGGTTGTGGTGATGGTGAGATGTTGGTTGTTGCAGGTCGTAGTGGCGATGGCAGCGAGGTGGTGGTGCTGTTGGTGTTCAGAGAATTGATGATGATGTTGGTTGTGGTCATGGTGGTAGGTGATGATTTTGGGCGGTTACGGTAAATTCATTTTTGTTAGATCTGGTGGCGGGTGGGTTTCAGAGGCAATAGAGGAGGTGGTGCTGGCTGCGGTGGCAGCGATGTTGGCTATGTTGAAAATTGTGACCGTGACTCTCAATTGTGACTCGAAATTGGATATATGACCTGAAAATTGTGAGTATGACTCCCAATTGTAACTCACAATTTGGGAGTCACAATTGGTCGTGGCGGTTTAGTTTATTCGTGACTCACAATTAAATACGTAACCTGAAAATTGTGACTATGAATCGTAAGTGTTGGTGGTGGTCACAAATTATTTGGTTGACTGTAATCATTAAATTGGTTAATCTGAGANTACACGGTATTTTTTACTTCTAAAAAAGTTTTCATATAATTTTTCAAAAGACTCCTAATTTTAAAGGTATTTTTATAAATTGCTCAAATAACTATCAACACAATCAATTAAAAAGCTCGACCCAAACGCAAGCGGGCATTAGTAGCAACTTAATTAATTAAGTGGAAATTACATATTCTAATATATTAAAAATTCTCATTTCATAATGCCATGTTTAATATTTCACAAATCAGAATTTTTTTAAATTAATTAATATATTTAAAAATTAATCTAATAAATAATAATTTTAAACCCTAATTGTTCTCAAAAATCCTAATTATTCTCCACTTTCATTTTCCCATACCCCCGATTCTCTCTCTCTCTCAAATGCCCAGTGACTGGCGATGGAGAATCGATGATAGAGAGCTACTTCGTTGCTGCGTCAACGAACTGGTGGCAATCTGAGGAGATCTCACAATCGGACGAACTGCCCATCGCGATCTGTGGTGGTTGGAGTAGTGTGTGTGCGGCGACAGCGTGTATGTGCGTGGGTGTGGTGGTGTGTGTGGCGGTAGCGGCGTGAGGCTGTGGTGGTTTTATGTGAGCCGCCGGTGACGATGTGTGGTGACGTGATGGTGGATTTGGTGCGTGTGTAGGTGCAGTGGTGTTGGAGTGGTGGTAGACGATGGGGGTTGTGGTTGTGGTGATGGTGAGATGTTGGTTGTTGCAGGTCGTAGTGACGATTGCAGCGAGGTGGTGGTGCTGTTGGTGTTTAGAGAATTGATGATGATGTTGGTTGTGGTCATGGTGGTAGGTGATGATTTTGGGCGGTTACGGTAAATTCATTTTTGTTAGATCTGGTGGCGGGTGGGTTTCAGAGGCAATAGAGGAGGTGGTGCTGGCTGCGGTGGCAGCGATGTTGGCTATGTTGAAAATTGTGACCGTGACTCTCAATTGTGACTCGAAATTGGATATATGACCTGAAAATTGTGAGTATGACTCCCAATTGTAACTCACAATTTGGGAGTCACAATTGGTCATGGCGGTTTAGTTTATTTGTGACTCACAATTAAATACGTAACCTGGAAATTGTGACTATGAATCGTAAGTGTTGGTGGTGGTCACAAATTATTTGGTTGACTGTAATCATTAAATTGGTTAATCTGAGATCAATGAAAAAGATAAATTGTGACCAAAAAATAAGGTGTGACCTTATAAATTGTTAATCTGTGATTGATAATTTGTGACTTGTACTATTGTGATTTGTGACCAATAAATAAATCGTGTTTTATAAATTTTTCGATTTGTGATCAATGAACAAACTGTGACATATAAAATTTTTGCTGTGGAAAAAACCTTAACTTTGCAAGGGAAAAAACCATAGCTGTCTACCATGTTATCTTTTCTCTTTAGGCTTGAGTATAACCCAATTCTTCCATTATTTTCTACTCCTTGTGACTTGCAAACTCATCACCCTAACCTTGTCTAAATGGATGCAAAAGGGAAGCAACCGAAGTAGTGGTGGATTGAGTTCTTTGTTGATTGTGCTTGATTTGGGATAAGATAGTGAAAATTGAGCCTAAAATCCACCAATTGAAGATCCCTTCTACAACGCATTCTATCAAATTAATTTTACATGTAACAAAACTAAATCCTATATGCCACAAAGTCCCCAACTTCGAGGTAAGGCATTCTTGAGAAGAATTGAGAGTTTGTGTAGTTTTAAAACTAGCTAGCATTTAATGACTAAATTTCCGGTGGGAACATTGGGAAATTTGGACTCGGTTACTGGAAAAAGAAAATATATTAAAAAGAAGACTTTAAAATGAATAAAATATTGTTTATAACTTTATTGAATGATGACCGTAGATATGAGTACTTAGCACACATCAATTCATATTTATAATAAAATAAGATTAACAACTGTTCACTATTTTGTGCTAGTGTTTATCCAAAGAGTAAAAAACAACTATCTAATAACAAACTTATAACTCTGCATTTTTGTAGGATTTTGTTACTTGACAGATTCTATCTAATGTACCTGTACTTGAATTTAATTTAATGCATTATCTTTCAGATTGTGTTGTTAGTTCATTCTAAATTTTCTCATCCTTTTGGATTATCATTTGGTTTGAATTTGTTGATTCCAAATCTTCTTGATTACTTGAATTGTCTCAACTTATTTTTGAATTTACGTGTGGATTCACAACATTATCACTCCAATATTTTATTTTTGTTCTTCTCATCACTCATTTGATCCTCATCATTCCTATCGACAAGTCATGTGAAGTTGCTAGCATCCTCCTCCTACAAATTGTGCTGGGGTTGAAGGTACAGTTTGGTTCAAAAAAGATTGAGTTGTTATAGACAATGGTTTGGTAAAGAAGCCAGCATTATTTTTATCTTCAAGATATGTCACCTATCATCGTAGTGTGAATTCGCATTCTCATCGTATCGTACAAAAATCTGGATACAATCTTTGTCATTGTCCTTAATTCCGTGCGTGTCCCGTCTTTTGGCTTTTAATTATCTTATGCCGTCTTTCTTTTTCGTATATGTGTGTCTTTCCTTTAATTTTCAGCCGCAATCTCTCTTTCTTTTTCTCCCAAATTTCAGCCTGTATGACTGTGTAAAAAAAATAAAATTCCTTGCAGCCGCCCAACTTTTATATATACACCCATATTCAGCCACCGTTTTTGTTTCTGTGTGTGTATATATATTCTCAGTTAAGCCTCAATGTTTGACCTCCAAAACAGAACCCTATATATATATATATTATCAACCAAAGCAGCCGCCCAATGTTTTCTTCTTTCCCGGAGTCCTTTATTTGCGTGTATATATATATAACACATTCAGCCCACTTTTTAGTGTTCATAGAAATATATTATCAACCAAAGCAGCCGCCCAATGTTTTCTTCTTTCCCGGAGTCCGTTATTTGCGTGTATATATATATAACACATTCAGCCCAACCAAAGCAGCCGCCCAATGTTTTCTTCTTTCCCGGAGTCCGTTATTTGCGTGTATATATATATATATAACACATTCAGCCCACTTTTTTATGTTCATAGAATTCAAATGCAACCGCAATGTTTGACTCCAAAACAAATTCCAATTCTCTTCTCGTCTCTTCTCTTCTCTTATTTCATGTGCGTGTGATGTATGTATATAATTCAGCCACATATAGCCGTATTCTCTTAATCCACCAAAAGTCCAATAAGCAGCTCCTTTTCCTTATGTCCAACAAAAGTTCAATTGCTCGACTTTCATTCCAAATACAAGTTCAACTTGAGGACAATTTAATGTATATTTTTCTTCAAGCTCTCAATTCTTATAAAATAGTTCATTTTAGTCCTTGAAGTCATCTATGTGCAACCAATGTCCTTCTCAAATTCAGACTTGTGGAGTTTGATCCCAAAATATAGATTTTATTCGATTTTGTCTTTCTTCCTTTCTAATTGTTTCAAATGAGTCCATCATAAAAAAAAAAATGAAAAAAAATTATTCCAAGTTAATTAGAAATTAATAATTTGACGACGTAAAAGTTTATCAATATGGCTCCGATAAGTGCACAAATTACACTTATCAATTAGCTACAAACATGGACCTAAATGTTTACCTAGCTTACGTCTTGACGTAAATTTTTTATTAACCTAAATGGAGAAAATCAAGAGAAGTGTATCTGGAACATCAATAATGCTATGGGTACATAAGCCAATCCATAAAGGTGTCCAAAATGCTGAGGTGGCTTTTTTTCACCGAATTTCTCGCCACAAGTGGGAACAAGACCAAACAATAAAAAGGAAATAAAAAATGTCTGAAACTCAACAAATTCAAATTGAAATTAGCCCTACCATACAGACATTTCCTTTTCCTTTTCCTTTTCATTTTCATTCACTCGTTCTCGGCAAATATGCTTCTTCGTCGAAGGCGACGTTCTCGATGACCCCAAAATCTTCAACGCAATCCAAAATTGCAAATTTCCCTTTCATTTTCATTCCCAGTTACCACATTGAACCCTCCCACTCCCAAAAAAGGCGACTCACGCCACAATCATTTTCATTCACTTGTTCCCGGTGAATACGCTTCTTCGTCGAAGGTAACCCCGCTCCCGATGACTCCAGTGTCTTCAACACAGTCGAAAATTGGGAATTCCTCTTTCATTTTCATTCCTAGTTGCCACATTGAACCCTTCCGCTCCCAGAAGAGGCGACTCATGCCACAGTCGACCCCATTCTCGGAGACGACAACACCTTCAACACAGTCATCACCCATGTAATGGAAGGGCATGCAGAGCAATTTTTCTCGTTCCCCAATGTGGTAGCCGATCGAGTTGAAGACAACATCGGTGGATTTGCATATACCATAGGCTCAAATGGTAAATTACCTTTTCCCTCTCCATTCGAAATCTCATGGTTTACAAATTAGATAACCATGTATGAAATTAACACATAATTTTCCTTCTTCCTCTGCTTCTACAGAGAATGACAGGTCTATTGAAGGAGGGTAAGTTTCGGACAACATGGTTGCTGAGATTACTGACCACGGTATGCTTTGTTCATTCATGAAATTTGCAGTTATACGTTTGTCACATACCTAACAACAATAAATGGCCATTTTACAATATAGGAATTGTTTGACTGTTTTGATAAAAAAACTGGAATGTAGCATAGTTTCATATCACTGTATTGACTTCATTAAAACAGTTGTTTTTGTAATCTTTCACCTCATAATGTGGAACCTCATTGTTGCAGGAGTGGATGATGACGTTCTTGAAGGAGTGGATGTGAAGTCGTCTAATATTGTGGGTGACGACGGTTTGGCCAAAGAAATGGTAGGTGTTGAAAAATGAGATAATAGCGCCCACGATTGGTATGAAATTTGTGTTCGAAATCAAGGTATTCGAATTTTACAAGAGATACGCTTATCAAGTAGAATTTCCTGTTAGAAAATGAAATACAAAGAGGCGAGATGATGGGTCAGTACGGTATGTGAGTTTTACCTGTAGTCGAGAAGGGCGACGAAATCGTAATAAAAGTACGTCATTGAATCCTCCACCAACAATTCAAACTGGGTGTAAAGCCAGATTGACTGCATGTTCTGGTGCATGTGGAATAATTTGAATAACCGAAGCACATTTAGAGCATAACCATAAAACAAGCCCATCTAAGTCCAGGTTGTATAGATGTAATAGGCAACTTAGTGAATGTGTCAAAAGACGACTTGAGGTAAATGACATAGCAGGCATACCATTGCATAAAAGCTTTTATTCAACTGTAGTGGAGGCAGGTGGTTTTGATAATATGACATGTGTTGAGAAAGATTACAGAAACTTCATCAAGAAAGTGCGACGTTTAAGACTAGGGAAAGGGGATGCCCTTGCAATTCAAGCTTACTTCGCGAAAATGCAGTCACGTAGTCCTGGTTTTTTCTTTAGTATGGACTTAGATGATGATTGTCGGTTGAGAAATATGTTTTGGATAGATAGCAGATGTCATGAAACGTATAAGGAATTTGGAGATGTTGTTACTTTTGACACCACATATCTCACGAACAAGTATGATATGCCTTTTGCTCCTTTTGTGGGGGTCAATCACCATGGGCAATCAACTCTTCTTGGCCGTGGTTTGGTTTCAAATGAGGATACTAACACATTTGTTTGGTTGTTTCGGACATGGCTTGAATGCATGAATGGTCAAGCTTCTAATGGAATTATTACAGATCAAGATTGAGCTATGCAAAATGCTATTCAAATTGTTTTTCCTAAGGCGAAGCATAGATGGTGCTTATGGAACATACTAAAGAAGTTGCCGGAGAAGTTTGGCTATCACAAAGCCAAAGTTCCAATAATGCATGCTATACACGTGTTAGTCTACGACACATTAAGTTGTAAAGAATTTGAGGAAGGCTGGTTGAATATGCTTGATCAGTTTGAATTGCAAGATCATGATTGGTTGAGTGGAATCTATGAAGAGAGAACTCGTTGGGTACCATGCTACCTGAACACTACATTTTGGGCAGGTATTTCAACCACACAAAGGAGCGAGAGCATGAATGCATTTTTCGATGGCTATGTACATTCGAAGACTTCTTTAAAGCTTTTTGTAGAGCAATATGAGCGAGCATTGAGAACTAAAGTGGAGAAAGAATTTCAGGCTGATTTCAGATCATTTTCACAAATGATTCCATATGCCACTAAGTACGATATGGAGAGACAATTTCAAGATGTGTACACTATCACCAAATTTAGAGAGTTCCAACAAGAGTTCACGGGAAAGATCTACTGTCACATCTTATTTGCGAAAGATTGTCCCGGGGAAACGAAGTACAAAGTGGTGAGGATATCATTCTTAGTGAAGGAATGAAGAAAAGAATATTTATAGTGAAATTCCTTAGAGACGGTTGTGATATTGAGTGCAATTGTCATTTGTTTGAGTTTGGAGGTATCATTTGCAAACATCAATATCAGTTTTAATTCAGAATGATGTACAATTGCTTCCCAAGAAATTTGTCTTGCAGAGATGGAGGCGAGATGTTAGTCGACCATATGTGCCGTTCCCAACGACATACGATGGTTTGGTTTGTACAGCTAAGCAATTAAGGTACGAGAGGTTGTGTCTTGCTTTTACAAAGATGGTAGACTTGATAGCGCCAAATAAAGAACAGTCCAATCATCTATTGGGGTGGATTGAATCCCAAACAAACCAATTATCTAAATCGAATTTTGGTAACTCGGTTGTGCACAAACCTGAAGCTCAAAATGATGAAAGCATCTACATTTTGGACCCGAAGCTTACAAAAAGAAAAGGTGCCCCCTAAAAGTTGCGCAAAAAGAGTCCGTTGGAGGTGAATTCAGAAAAATCAAAGGGTCGAAAAAAGGTCTTACTATCTCTGCATTACTCTTATCTCAAATGTGTAATCATTCAATTGCCTTTTAACCAACTTATTGTTTACATCATGTACATGTTCCAACAAGTTCAACACTTTCGCTTAAGTGTAGTAGATCTAAAGAAAATGTCGTGAACACAAAAAATGAAGACAAGGCTGAAGATCAGTGCATTTCATCTTCTCAAACACACCAACTTTTTGTAACACAAGAGAGCGTTGATGTTATTGAACGTTTGTAGGGAGAATCTATTTTTGAATGTGTTCTTCTACACTACAGACGTTCAACCTATTTCTTTTGATGTGAAAGGTGGTAAAAACAACATCTGCTGGTCATGCTAAGAAACTTGCAGCCAGTGTACACTTCAGAACATGTCTTGATGGTGCTCTTACCTTTTTTTCCCTTTTGATAACTGTTTGATCCAGCTTTCCTGATGTGTTTAACTACCCAATTCCATGATCTAATGTGATTTCAGGTATTATCTGTGTTGGAGGTGATGGAATCGTGAATGAGGTTTGCAGAACTGTCATTTCCATTCATGCTTGTTCATTCATGTTATATGAATGAGTGGGGCACTTTTGTGCAAATTTGGTTCTAGTTTTTGGGTGAAATTTTGTAATAACGTTATTAAGGTGGCTCCAATTGTCTATTATTTTGTAATATTCAGGTTCTAATATTTTGTAAACTCAGGCAGAATCTAAATGTTATGTGGCTCGAATTGTCTATTACGAGTTTTTCCTTTTATGTCTATTTCGGTTATGAATGGGTTGCGGGAATAGATACTGTGGGCTACGTCAAAATAATTGATATTAAGACAAAGTCAAAATAATATTTGTTAGGGGACATTACAGGAAAGGCATGAAAATGTAATCAGCAGTAATCTTAGTTAAGCATGTAAAGTCTCTGACCGTGCTTTCCTCTCGAAATTATACCCTGGCAGTCACTTGGTTCAAAAAAGACAGAATTGTTCTCAACTGCTCAAGTATTTTCTTACGGTGAACAAAATTTAAAAACAAAAAAAGGAACATTAATCCTATGGAGAAATCTCATTGTTGTTGCATGCCCATTTGCATTAAAGCAAAAGTCCCCATAGCATTATTGGTCAGATAATACGCCCAAAATTTAAGCTTCTCAAGCATGTAGTGAACATAAACATGGAACCATGGAATTAAAATGTGGCTCAACATTAAAATAAACATAAGTGTCGTTAAAATATCCAATTACATAAGTTCGACGGGTAGCTACAACTACATAAGACACATAAACATATACATAAATATAAACATGAACATAAAAATCAGTTCTCCTCCCTACGCTTTTCCTTGGCGATATCTTCCAACTTTCCCTTTCCCTTTCCCTTTCCCTTCCGAATAGTTATGTTGAATTATATCTCCACATCCTCTTCCTCTTTCTTTAATTCGGCAACACTTTTCAACAAGTCATCCATTGGTGCTTTAACTTTGCTTGGAGACGTCCCAACAGGGCTTGATTGCATTCCATCATAATAATTATTGGACTGTCCTTCAAACGACAAGGGTTTCTTCTTCGAGGACTTCCCGTCATTCCGGTCGAAATATCCACAATCTTTTGTACAACACAAGAATATTCGGCCTATGTTGTTCGTCTTCTTTTCAACCTCCATCATTTTTACAATTCCTTGTAAACAGTTATGACATTGTTTTTTTTTTTTTTTTTTTTTGGATAGTCATACAGTTGATGCCCAGGATCTCGACAACTATGGCAGATACCCTTATTCTTTCCAGCCATTCAATATTACAGCTGTGGAAGATTTGTATCGAAATCGAAAAATAGCCAGGGCTCAGCTTGCTTAATTAATATGTTTATATGATACAATACATTCACAATGCATTGATTCTCAAACTACGTCATGTAATACTATTATACGATACAGTACATTCACAGGAAATACACTAATCTAAGTTCATATGAAGTAGCATAATCTAAGTTCACATGAAGTAGTATAATCAAAAGACGACTGTATAGCTGAATGGGGACGACATGGTCGTGATAAGATGTAGCCGAAAACTGAACCACAGAGAACAATTTCTGTACAGTAAATCGCCACTCTAACAAGATCACATATAACCAAATAAATACGACAACAGTCAACAGTGTTTGTGCTTTGGTGACTTCCCATCTAAATGGTAGGGAAAAAGAACATCGTGCAACTAAAACCCAAAAAACCAAAACTAAAAAAAAAACAAAATTGCTGTCAGAGCTCGTGGAAAAAAAAAAAAAAAAAAAGGACAAACAAAATTGCTGTCAGTCTCGTGAAAACGAAAATCCATTTTAGAAGAAGAGGAAGCTGAATCATACCGTCGTTGAAGCTATAGGCGTTAATCTGTGACCAAATTGGGAAAACTGAAACCCAAAAACGGAAAATAAAAAGGTTATCTACCAAACAAAAAGAGAAACCCACTCATTCTATGGGTTGATTACTAATACCGTTCTCAAGAACGAGTTTAATTTTGGACTGTGTTGAAGATTCTGGAGTCGCCGGGAATGGGATCGCCTTCGACGAAGAAGCGTATTTGTCGGGAACAAGTGAATGAAAATGAAAAGGAAATGTTTGTACGGTAGGGCTAATTTCAATTTGAATTTGTTGGGTTTCAGACATTTTTTATTTCCTTTTTATTGTTTGGTCTTGTTCCCACTTGTGCCGAGAAATTGGGTGAAAAAATGCGACCTCAGCATTTTGGACACCTTTATGGATTGGCTTATGTACCCATAGCATTATTGCTAGAACATTATATATTGACCAGCTCCAAGTATTCAAGATCAAAAGAGAAAAAGATTGAGGTTTATAGTCTTTGCATTATATGTCGATAGCATCGAATAACAGAATTATGACTATTACATCTAAAATACTTCAATCGCGGAGCAAGTCAAGTTCTACCTTTCTTGATTTTCCTCTGCTAGCTATGACTGCGCAATGACTTCCTATTTATTCAAGGATTTTTATTTCCATTTCCCTTTCCATTGCTATGTATTATTTCATTATTAGCAATTGCTGGAACATAACAATTATCAAAATACCACTCCTTTGCTAAGCTGGGTTGTTTCTGAATCTGATTATCAAGATTAGTAGATGAGGCACTTCTTTCTTCTGTTGACCAAATTTCCTTGTTTGAAGAATTTCGAAAAGCCTTCGATTTTGGAGAATTTAAGTTTTGATACGAAATGGATTTTGGTTTCCGAATCTGATGTTCAAGATTAGTAGAAATGACATTACTTTCCGCTGCCAATGAACCCCAAATTTTCGTCCCTGAAGAACTTTTGTCAAAAATTCTCTGGGTGAAACCTAGGTTGAAAATTCCCATAGTAATTAATCTCTGTTGCTGTAACTTCAAATGTATGTCTTGATTGATAGAAATCAACGACTCAAAGTAGGTCGCAATATCACAATAAGGATTCAGTAATGAGCCAATTTTTGGAACTCCATGACTTAAATCTGGGGTGCCCGCTCCATGTTTGAACACACAAGGAAGATGAAAATTGGAGCCCGTAAAAGGAGAATTTCTTGAAGGAGTATAAAGATTAAAACAAGGGTCTGTTGAAGATTTTCCATTGCCGTCAGTACACATTTTAGTAGTGCCAGATGCAGTTGATAAAGTCCCAAAGGGTGAAATACTTGTACAGTGAAAATCCGTGGCTGGTAGTTCAGTTTACCTGTATTAGATGATCCAGTAGAGTAATGCTGTGAAACCCTCAAAGAAGACTTCTCTTTCTTGTTTTTCCGCCAGCGTCCACGGACAGAGCCCGCACCCACTGGTAAGTTTCGCATGGTTCCTCCTTTTGTCCAGTACCTTCTGCATGTCTTACAGTAATACCTCGGCTGTGTGAGACTGTAATTATTGTAGTAGCAAAACTTTGTGTTCGAGGAATCACATCTAGGGCACTTGAGGGATGCTTCTTGCGGTGTTGCAGCTGTCTGATGGCTGCCGGAGCTCTGGCTTTTACCTTTGCCGGCTGTCTTTGCCCCCATTCTATCCGCTGGTGATATTCAGAACGTTCTGCCACTGACGCTTGAAAAAGCAGCTTGCAAGGTCTCGCCTCTCCGGTAAATCACCGGAGCACTGATGCATTTATTATAGAGAGAGAAAAGATGTATAGTGTGAGAGAGGGATAAGATAGCCTAACAAGAAGATGATGCAATAGCTCAGGTAGAATCCGGAGAAACACGTGCAGAAGAAAAGAACAAATTAGAGATATACATGCCTAATGCCTACAGTGGGAAAAAACCAGCTGCATTCAGAGATGATATACAGTGAACTTGTTTTGTGTTACTACACCCCTCTGTGCCACATACAAATGATGTTCGAAGAAGAAAGCCACGTAGCATACATTTGCCACCTCATGACGCAAGCCACATACACCTTGCTAGAATTACCCACCCTCAACGCCTAGTATCTTGCTGAGCCAAAGAATATAGACCAACTCATAAGGGTTGAAGCTACTCCTTTTAACAAGATTGACCTTTTAAAATGAATTCCCAAATTTTAACAGAGTGTGCAGGAGTGAGGGTTGTTGGGCCAAGGCATTCCTCCAAAGCCTATTAATGTATCGGTTTAGTAGAATTTTTTTCATCCCATGGCTCATTCTTCAAGTTCGGGGAGGGCGGTGCTCCTGAATAGTAAGAGACTCTCTAAGTGGTCTGCCCATTGGTGAACCTCCAGGCCTGGAGAGACGAGGCTGAGGGTGAACCTGATTCTCTTAAGAGATCACGAAGTGATGCAAAAAGGCATGTGGTGGATAAATTCATGCAGAGAATCGTGCATAAATCACTGCACTATGGAAACTAATCACAACCACCGTGGAAACAGCAGCTAATTCATTCGCCAAGAGTTACCGTATGTCATTTTTGAATTATTGTCTTTGTTATAAATGGTAAGTTTATTAATGAATGACAATTGGACCCCCACAACCCTAAAAATTATTATTATTGTATTTCTGATACTTTCCTAGAAATATAGGACTTTGATTCTTAATAAAAATACATACAAGTCTATTAACTTTTATTTTCTCTTCTCTTTTTCTCTCTTTTCATAACACATTATCAGCACGAAGGATTATTTTTTTTAAGCTTAGTGAAAGTAGCAATTTTTTTAGCATAATCATTTATCACATATACCAAAATTAATTTTGTGACGTGTGAATTTTTCTACATATATGTACATCGAAACGAGGTTGCTACTTCTATGCTTTTTTACTTATATGCAAATATGCAATTATTATTTCATTATATGAATAATGATTACTTTTGTCATATTTGCATGATTATATATGAAGTCAATTCACATACATGTTTGGAAGATTATTTTATTTATATATTTTTGGTCATTTATTTTTCTATGTAAATTCATATCATGTCTATCTAGTAATTAAATTTTTTAGATATTCTTCTATAAACTTTAAATTAATAATTTATCATATTATTGCTTTTGAAGTTGCACAATATTATAAGTAATATTCTTGAAGAATATTACTTGCTCCTAATTTTCAATATTCCAAAAGAATATTGATCTATTGCTCTTGAAGAGGTAATAATAAAATATAATGCGTTTTCAAAATAACACATGTTTAGAAGAATATCATATTAGTGCTTTTGAAAAAAAAAATAATGTTACTTGCAGTCGCACTACATGACATAAGTGTAGTGGTTAGTGATTTGATACATAAAACAATAAAAAAAAAACTACCACATTAATGTATCAAATTACTAACGACACATGCTTGTCACGTAAGACAACTATGATAGTGAGCGACTGCAAATAATATTATTCATTGAAAAAGCATAAATTTTGAAATACTAATAAGATTTAAGATGGATAATCAAAATATCTGTTTAGCAGATAGTGCAACTATGTACACAATTCTTCAAGATAAAAGTATTTCTTAGAATTTAACATGAACAAAAAATAATTTTAATACGATATTAGGTGCATCGAATATCGTTGAAGGCTCTAGAAGAGCTTACAAAACTATATATTGACGATGCACTTTATTCTAACAATTCTTAGTTTTAAAGATATTCATTGCAATGAATATCACATTGAGACGATACAAAAAAATAATATTGAATATCTTTATATGACTTCTTTTGTATCTGGCTAGAAGTAGATAAAAGAAAAATTTCACGCACTCCTATTTAGCATATATTATACATTTATAAAAGTGGTTGAATCAAATGTTATCATGAACCAAAAATTTGTTGACCAAAAAGTTTTATATTTTGACATGATCGATTTGGACACACAGGAACTATGATACTACGTTGAATAATAAACAATTCAAATGGACATTCTTTGAAAAATCAGAAGATTCTTATACCTAATGATTATTCACATATAAGTTGTTCGCAAGGTAAGTTAGTCATTAGACATTCGACTACAAAGATCAGTATTAAATTTTCAACTTTCTTAGAAAGAATTCATGAAGATATATGGGGCCAATACACCTAACATGTGGGCCATTTCATTATTAGTATTAACTCATTTTTCTACTATATAGTTACATGTTTGCTTATTTTCCGCTAGAAATGTAGACTTTGTTAGACTAATTGCTTAAGTCATAAAATTACGAGCACAATTCCCCGATTACTCAATTAAGATTATTTGTCTTAACAATACTAGTGAATTTAGATCACAAGTATTCGATAATTATTGTATGTTAATTGAGATTGTTGATGAGCATTCAGTTGTGCATATCCATACACAAAATATCAGGAAATTGCATAAATCGGTAGAGGCTTACGAAGAGTGAAACAAGAAAATATTAGGTATCTCAATTAAGACCTAAAAAACAAAAGGAAAAAAAAATAGAAATCGAAAAAATCGAACTTAATATAAGATATCAAACAAAAATTAAATCCGTTGTTCGCGTAAAACCCGAAAGCGTACGAAATCTTTGACATATAAGAGAAACTAGAGAGTATCGAGTTTATCGTTCTGACGAGGAATAAGGTCTAATATCTAATTCCATAGCTTTTATCAAATTCAAATTCATGTAATATCAACAGATGGTTTTCATATTTCTAAACTAAAAAAGCAATAAAAAGTGATTAAATCTAATATGCGAATGTTTGTATTGGAGTCTCGAATCCATCTATTGCAATTTATGTCAATTCTTAATTCGTAATCTAGTAAATTCATACATTCAAAATAATCAATAATCCACTTTTATTCAATATTCTCTTTCAAGATATAATAAACATATATTTAACATGATCTGATCATATTTCCAATCTGAATTCATATGAAAAGCATGCATTAATTCACAAGATTTATCACACATGATTTCACATGTTATAAATATTATTCCTAATATATATTGCCTACTTGTTATTTGCTGCATTCTAAACTCATTGTAAGTATTTCTATACTACGAATAAGCAACTTACTATCTATTTTTTTATCAAGTAATCAAATAGTTGAATGGGAATGCAAAATCAATCAAGAAAATCAAGAATCACTCAACTAATTTTTTTGCTCTATCTTTTATTTTAACTAATTTTTACTTTGAATGCATCCAATTATAGAGAGTGAGTAATTTGGAGAGCCTAACTCGCACTCTAAATAAAATGAATTTAGAAAGTCTTTTGAAGTATGATTTCAAGGGTTGGCTCTTTAAATAGAAAGAATCTCATATTTAAAAAGCCTATTGGAGATGCACTAACAATACTCTTTATTTTGGCTCTTCATTTTGCTTTTCTCGAGAAATATTTATTAATTAATTCTTCTCATATTTTATTTAACATAATTTTTTATATGTCAATACCAATCTATAATATATTAGAAGTGGAGATGGTGGAGAAAATTTTCAATACCAAATTTACCCCTACATATTTAATTATATGCCCACTATACCATCATAATTAGAATACCAATTTAATTAGTATTTATCATTTGATTTAGAATTAATATAATATAAGGAGTGAAATATTTAATCGATATTTATCATTTGAGATTGGAATTAATATAAGGAGAGAAACTAACATTCAATTATATAAAAAAAAAAAAAGGAAAAAAAATGAGTGACTTACCATTCAATTGATCACTTTGTTCTCACAGTTTTTATTTTCCACCAACGAATCAATTTTTATTTTTCATCAACAAAACATTTATTAATCTTCATGATTTACATTATAATTCATGCAGTGGGTTTTTATTTTTCATCAACAGAGCAATTTTAATCTTCATACTTTACATTATAAGTCATTCATTGAGTTATTATTTGTAAAAGATGGGAGAGGTGAGATTGATAATTGTGTGGTAGAAAAAGTGGAGAAAGTAGAGCCAAGTCCTTGCAAAACCAGTGTATTTTGTCTAAATCATCCACTAGCCAACCCATGGCAGCGAGTTGGTCACAAACAAATTTGAACTCGCGAGAATATTCAACCACAGTCCGAGTATCTTTCTTCATGTGCTGCAATTCATCCTTCAGACGCAGCTCCTAGGATTTGGAACAGTGGTTGAAGGTGGTCTCCAAAGTGGACCATACTTCATGTGAGGTGCTTAATCCAACAACAGTAGATAGAGCTTCTTCAGTTAACGAAGCAAGGAGAAGGTTGAGAACAAGCTGATTGGTTTGCTGCCATTCAACAAATTTCGGATTTATTGTGGCAATTTCACCGGAACTGATAGTGGCGGGAGGAGATTTGAGAGAGTCATCAACATAGCCAAGAAGGTTTTGGCACTGCAACAATGGCAGCGCTTGATTGTGCCAGAGAAGGTAGTTCGAGGAGGACAGCTTGACGGTTAGGAGATGTACCATAGTGTTGAAAGACAGAGAAAGAGATGGGTTGACGGAGGCCATCTGGGTCAATGGATACGAATCCTATAGAAGCTCTGATACCATGAGAAGGTTTTATGAACCACCGTGAGTTTATTCATGGTGTGAGTATCATTATATAGAATCTGTACAGTAATGAATATGGCAAGAATATTTGCATACAAGGTAGCATATATATTACAATCTATTTCCTATATTTAAAAGATTGTCCAGGATCATGAGGGGAGGATCTTCGGGAACCTTCCATAATCGTAATACAGCTTTACACGTCATTGCATTCTTGTCCTTACCGCTCGCAATGTGGTAGATTCCGCATCAACTAT